TTACAAAATAAATGAACTCCCATGTCTCCATTGCCCAGCTTCCACAGTTATGAACCTTCGGTCCATTCTTTTTCTTTTTTCAGGTTTAAGAAAAAAATTTTGATTATGGCAGCTATCACCACCGCCCATCCCAGAGCGTTTATCATCTTGCAAAACCAAAACTCCATACCCATTAAACAACAACTTCTCATTCTCCCTCCCTCCGTCCGCTGGCAACCACCGTTCTACTTTCTGTCTCCGTGAAACTGACTGCTCTAGATATAGGGGAATCAGACAGTATTTGTCCTTTTGTTACTGGTTTATTTCACTTAGCATCATGTCTTCAGGGTTCGTCAGTGTTGTAACAGGTGCCAGAAATTCCTGCCTTTTTAAGGCCGAATAATATTTCGTCGTACGTGTGTTTTGTTTACCCGTTCATCTCTAGACACTCGGGTTGCTGCCATCTCTCGGCTGGTGTGAGTAATGCTGCTGTAAACATACCATTCTGCCATTCTTGTATCTTCCACACCTTCATCCATCCCCCATCCCTCACTGGATTATCGACGTTAATCAGAGGAACTATATTTTATTCATCTTTGTATTCTCCTAACACAAAGCCCGGCACATAGTAGGTAATTTTTTTAATGTGTTATAGATGGATGAATCTTCCAAAATTATTGTCTTTTTCTTTTTAATTTTAAGCAAGGCCCAGAAAGAGAGAACATCTCCTTTTTTTCTTAGACTCGTAAATGTGAAATTTTGCTAAAAACTACATTTATGAATGAGAATAAGAATTCAGTACTTTATGGATCAGCAGAACAAGGGACATTGCTGAAGAATCCGATGGCAGTTTTTATTTTTATACCAGTACCCACACTGCTGTGGGTAGAAACCGTTTATTTGGGGAAATATTAAAAACCTTTGGAGTCACCAGCTTAACATTTTAACGAAGATCGACTCATTAATAATGAAATTTTCAGTTGATTCCATACATCAGAAAGATAATTTAAGAGTAAAACTTATCTTTTTGTAACCAAGTCCTTGACAGGGCTAAGCAGCTTTGTTTAACTGTCGTCAGGTCATAGACGGGAAAGTCTGCTAATGGGATCTAAGCTTGAAAGCTCACGGCCTGAGTTCCCTGCATTAATGTCCCTATCAGCCAGTAGCCCCAGCGCCTAGAGTGTAGACAAAAGGTTTAATCAGCCGAACGGGAGAACTAAATCGGCACTTCTTACAAAGTAGGGAATTAACGAGACACCTTGCTTACTCCTCTCCACTGCAGAGAGTGGAGTGGAGGGGCGGCCCTTCCACCTGCAGGAAGGGGGTGGACAAGCTGATGTAGGTGGCTTGGCCTCCTGGAGTTGGGCCTGTGGCGGAAAGAGCCTTCCCGAAGGGCCTGCCCGCTCCCAGGAGCCGTTTGTCTCCGAGGGGCTGGTGCTCTGCGTGTCCGGTGGGAGAACTTGAGTGGTTCCACCTATAAAGAGAACCCTCTTGCTCCCCAGCAGGTTCCGCGGGGCAAACAGGTAAAACGGAGTCCTCAGGAAAGCCCCGAGTCCAGAGCGGACCACGCGCATGATGGCTGCGTGACGGCGGTAGCCGGGCCTCGGAGGCCGTGGGGGCACAGATCCCCAGTTCTGCCACTTATGGGTCCTAGGACTTTGGGCCAGTTACTTTGCCTCCTTTATTCTGTAAAGATGAGGTGAGATGATGCTGTTGTTGTTCCCTTGGGAGGTGAGTCGCTTCAGGGGGATGAGCCCTGTGCGCCTGTTGCCATTCAGACCTTTATGCAGGACTCCTGGTGACAGTGTCATCGCCTTCCGGCGTTGGGACAGAACAGTTGCCCTGAATGGGTGGATTTCGCTCACCTAACTCCTGCTCACCGTTCCAGGCTCCGCTGTCCTGTGCCCTGGATGAGCCTTTTTCTCTTGTGACTCCTGTGGGCATTTCGCGGCCCGCCCCACCCCAGTAGCACTGAACTGTGTGGCAGTATCTGTTTCCATGTCTGAATGACACTGCCGATGTCGTTCTTCAACCTCTTTGCAGAAAAAGCCCCCGTTGTCACATGTCCCGTGAATCTTTCCCATCCGTATCCATTTCCTTGTTTTCCATTTCTGTTTTTATAGTGCAGACATCTGATCCAGGGAGATGTCACCTCCAGTAAGCAGACAACAGGCCCAAAATGTTCATATCTCCCCAAAGATGGGATTCTTTCTGCTCTCCTGCAGCTAAATCCTGCCTCGGGCTACCCTCACATACAAATCTGGTTGCAGACTCTCTTGAATTTTATTGGTCCTTCAGCAGACTCTCCTTCCTGGCAATGCTGGGCCAAAACGCCAGCAGTGAATGCTAACAACTCAATGAGCATTTCGTCTGAGCAGCTCTAAACTCCCCGGACACAAGTGTCACTCATCTGGCATTGTGCTCTGAGACCTCTTTACCCGTCACGAGAGCAGTGTCTCAGCCACCCTGAGACCACAGGGCTCCTGTGACGGGAACCAGAGTCAAGCTCATTCTGTGGTTCTTTAACCAGCATCCCTGAGCTTCTAAGTAGGGGCTAGGCTCCATGCTGTCCCCAGAGAATGTGCCTTCTCGAGCTGCTGGTCACGGGAGACACCAGTGGAGATTGCCTAGCACCCAAGGGTGCATAAGGTACTGTGGGAGCATCAAGCAGGGGTAAATGACTGCAGCAAAAAGACCTGTGCTTAAGAGGAAGATGGTCCACATGGAAGGAACAGAGCTGGCAGAAGCAAGGATCAGAGTGGGACAGGACATGGCATGTGATTAGGAGGTGCATTTGGAGCATAAGGTATGTGGGGCAGCAGAATAAAGGCACACAAAAGGACCCTGGAAAAGAAAGCCAGGATCAGCTTCGGAAGGGTTTGTTCGCCCAGCTAAGGAGCTTGCTTTCCGCTCTCACCCAGGACCCATGCACGTGTCGTACGTGCTGCTAGGCGTACAACGTTAAGCAAAACAGGTACCATTCCTCTTTACATGGAGCATGTAGTCTAGTGGGAGAAACAGACATTAATCAAATAACCACTCAAATGTAACATCTCTGCAACCAAAATTCTTGAGCAGGACAGTGACATGATACAACTTGCGTCTTAGAAATTACTCCTCCCAGAAGGATTGGAGTAACTGGGAGCAAAGACACAGGAGAGGGACGTAGAGTTAAACCTCCACCACCATAGTCAGGCCTGTGCCGGAGTAGAGGGATGGAGAGCAGGGCCACACGGGGGACATTGCACTGGTAAAATGGGAGAGACTTAGAAAGTCTGATAGGACTACTGTGGGTAGCTATGCATAATGATCATGGAAGGAAGGAAGGAAAGAGAGGGAGGGAAGGAAGGAAAAGATTCGGGGTACAGTCCAAATGGGGTCATAATCAGGGGTTTGGGCCATTTTGAGTTCGAAGTGCTAGGAGGCCATCTAGGCGGGGATGGTGACATGGGTTTGGAGCTCACAAAGGACGTCCGAGCGGATGATGTTTATTAGGAGTCATTTGGTGTATGGGTCCCACTGTGCTCACAGAGGAGACCACCTGGGAGAGAATGAATTGTCCTGCTGTGGTCCCAAGGGTCAGAAGCAAAACTGCAGGCCGCGGGAGGGGCATTCTGGTTGGGCTTCTCTCTGTCACTAGCTGATCTCTCAGCTGTCGGCAAGGAAGGTGTGAATCCGTTCAAAGTAGTAAGTGGCCGGAGGATTCTTTTTCCTGAGGAGCTGGTTTGCTTTTTCTCTCACGTCGTAAAGCTTGCACTGTTTTCCTTCTTGCTTCAGCAGCCAGGGAGCTCAGAGCTAATTTCGTAACTTAATTTTAGAAATCATACAAAACTCGCATATCTAGATTCTCTTTTCTCGTATAATTATATTTGATATATTTATGTCTTTTCCACTTCTGTTTTTTTGCTTTGTTTAAGGGTTTCATGTAAGCTGCCTCAGACCCTTTGTAAAATTAGGCAGAGGATAACTGTATAAAAATAAATATTACCCTCACCCTGACTTTTTTGGGTCATGCTTGCAGCCTTTGTGCGGTAAGTCTGCCCGGGCGCTGAGCTAATATTGGCTCAATTTAAGCAGGAGGAACTTTTGGAATTTACAGCAGCTAGACGGTAAATTTAACACTCACGTAATTCATTAAAACAGGATAAAAGTGGAGCTTCAAACATCTCTGTGTTTGCCACCAAGTCTGTTAAGGGCGGGGTACCTTTACTTCAGTTCAAGATGTAAAAGTCTGATCTCTCAAAATTGAGAATACACCACCCGAACTAAAGACTCATCTGTGTAGATGACCACTCCGGGTGCCTTCAGAGAAGGACTGAGGTGTCGACTACAAGATGGGATGTTTTTTAAACTTAGGGTGTCATTTTCTTGACTCATAAAATATAGTTTGGTAAAAGGAAACTTCCTTATCAAACAACTATACGCAAAATTGGATGGTAAATTTTATTTTTGATCATCCCTGCTTTTTCATATAAATAATTACTTTAAATTTTTAATTTATTATTGGCTAAGATCACCATGTAAATGATTCTCATACTGTGTTCCACAGCTGGTGCCTTAGGGGCCGCAAAGGTGCTGGGAGTGGGGGATCAGGGAGGGAGGGCCCTCAAGCACGGAGAACCCAGCCACCACCCCCACCCCCAGCTCCCACGGGGTAGCTGGCCGTTGTATGTAGCAGGGCTCCTTCCGCATAAGGCGCTACCTGAAGAAAGGGCTCCGCTCCTAAAAGTGAAAAGTTTGGAAGCCATCGCATCAGAGGTCCCATCTCACCAGCTCGCTGTCGGGATATGGAAGGTTTAGAATCGGACCTTTGGCTCTGCGACTTTGGGGGATAACTTCCTCCCTGACACAGCTTCCTCCTCCAGAGGATAGGGTGCCATCAGTGATAATAGCCACTTCACCCGGTAAAGGAGGATCTCACGCATCTAAGCGGCAGATGTAGACGCCCCTCCGAAACCAGTTAAGAACCGACCACCCTCACTCAACCCCTCTGTCCATCCTCTCTGCTCTCTGCTTCCCAGGAGGAGCCGATCACCTTCTGTGAGGAGGCTTTTGTGTCCCACTACCGCTCTGGAGCCATGAGGCAGTTCCTGCAGAATGCCACACAGCTGCAGCTCTTCAAACAGGTGCGTGGCCGGCGTCTGGGATCCGGAGGGGGCGGCCTTCTGCGCTGTGGTCACTGAGCACCGAGGCCTCAGGCGTGAGCAGGGCTCGGGGCCTCAGCCTGAAGCGGCCCAGGGTCTGGGGAGGCGGATTGGGTGAGGAGGGAGGTCAGCACCCAGACAGACCCTTACAAACGTGCCACGCGGTTTTACACGTTGTCATAAACACTCAGCCGGTTTTCAGAAACTCGCCTTTTTGAACCTCCCGATTCCAAAGGCCCTTTCCTGTCATGGGAAGCCTGGTGGTTCTTTGCTCATTCGCCGGGGTGCCCAGCGAACGGCGTTTTTCCTGGTTTCTTTGTGGACGCTGCTATGCTTTTGTTCTTTCTCTCTGTAGTTTATTGATGGTAGACTAGACCTTCTCAATTCCGGTGAAGGTTTCAGCGATGTTTTTGAAGAAGAGATCAACATGGGCGAGTATGCTGGTGAGAAGCATTTCTTTTTTTTTTTTTTTTCCCCCCCGTGCTGTGGGCTGGTAGGTGGGATTAGGGTGTCTTTGGCAAGGAGTGGCAGTGACTTCCTTTTTCCTTCGGTGGGGATTGGGGAGAAACTGATTTCAATCCTGGCCTTGAAATGTTTGAAGAATTCCTCTTTATTTTCTGATGAGATGTACATGGTCCCACCTGCAGTCCTCTGCCCTGGGGTCAGTTGCTTCATGGGGGGCAGGAAGCAAAGTCTAGTTGAACGTAGGGGCCAGCATGGTACGGTGGAAAGCACAGGAGGTGACGTGGATTCAGATCGGGACACTGCCTCCTTACTAGCGGGGAGAGCGCGGTCCCATCATTCCACCTCTTTCGGCCGAAGCGTTCCTGTCTAGGCACTGAGAGTCACTGCCTGCCTCCCAGGAGGCCCGCTGCGATTAAGTCAGAGTCCACAAGGACAGGGTCAGGCAGTCACCCGGGACACACCCCAGCACAGGATCGCTGCTCAGTGAATGTCTCTAAGATGTGAAAATCATTGCCAAGCGAGTGTGTCGTCTCCACACGCCTTTAGATCCGGAGGGATCGTCCCCTCCTTTTTCAGAGACGCAGCTGAGGCCCAGAGAGGCGTTAGTGGCTGACTCTGCCTCCTGAATCCCCATCCGGCCTTCTCTCCAAGTCCCAAAGCCTCAGTCTTTGGCAGCAGAGTAAAAACTAAATGAAGAACAATAAGCATCGTGCTGCCGGCCCCTCTTATTGCCGAGCATGTGCCTTGTCTGGACTGTGCTGACACTCCAGCGGGCGGTCCGTACACTCAGAGCCAGGCAGAATGTCACCTACAAAACCCCTTCTACGGGCCCGACCAGGCCACGCTGCCTGGAGAGCACGATGACTCCATAAACCAGCGTGCACGTCTGCGGACAGTGATAGTGGACTGTTGACGGGCCTTTCCTGAGCACCTGCAGTGGCCAGAGCTCGGGGGGAGGAAGAAACGGAGGATCCGGTTCTGCCCTCAGGGGGCTTTAGACCGGCAGGAGGAAGAGATGCACAGCTCAAGACAAATGCACATTAAACCCGTGAGGGAGGAGTAGAAACCGGTTTCCGGGCGGTTAGAAGGAGGCTCCAAGAATTCTCACGGTGTAACGGGAGCTTCACGAAGCGGGCAGGCAGAGCGGACTCCAACAGCTGACTGTTCTTGCTGAGGAGACGGGCTCTATGTGTTGCTAAGTCAGGTCACTCGGAGCATCTAGAAAAGCTGTTCACTGATCAGACCTTCTTAGCCCACCCCTTAAAATGAACACGTTCCCCAACAACGCCTCCTCCCTCTTTCTCCGTCACTACTCAGGCGTGCCGAGTGCGTGTCCTGCGGTGTGCGTATGCTGGGGCACGCGGCCCCGTGCTTCCTGCCCTGGAGTGGCGCCCAGGATTTCAGGGGCTAGGGACCTCTGATCAAGTGCTTCTTACATTGGAGCACTCACTGCTCAGAGGACTAGGAGGAGCTGGCGGAGGAAGTGACCTGTGAGCTGGCCGTTGCGTACTCAGCAGGGAGAGTAGGGAGCGGTGGCCAGGTCAGGGGAACAGCGTTTACGAGGGAGCGGAGGCCTGCAGGGCATGTGGTCAGGGAGCCCGAGGTAGGTCCTCAAGGTCAGAGCCTCAGTGGCCCAGGATGGAGAGGCAGAGGGTGGGCGGTGCCGGAACGAGACAGGAGAAGGGAAGCAGGGCTGCCAAGGGGTCTGCCCTCCGTCCAGGAGGCAGCGAGAAAGGTGTAGGTGTGTCCTCAGGGCACTGGTAGGATCAGATCTCTGTCTGAGAAAGAAAGCCCGTGGGGGCAACTGGCTGCCGCTTCCTTCAGGAGGTGAGGCGTGGGAGCCTCTGCGTGCTTTGCCAAGTCCTCCTGCTGGAAGCAATTGGAAGAACTCCCGAGGGCACGTGACTCCTTTAAATGACAGCTTCTCTGACTCCTCTTTCCACAGGCAGCGATAAACTGTACCATCAGTGGCTCTCCACAGTCCGGGTAAGTGTGCACCCCCCTCAGAGCCACCTGGGCCCCTCCTTAGCCTCCTGGCAGCCCTCCGCTTCCCCTGCCACCCACAAGGCTGTCATTTGGCCTGGGGCACTTTGTTCTCTCAGCTGAAGATGCTTTTGTTTGTGAAGCCAGGTGGAGGCTCGCAGGATGAGGCTGTCCAAACCATGCCTGGTGAGGGCGAGAGCCAGGAGAAGCTTCCTCACCTCAGGAAGCTGGCCAAGGCCTGTCACATGGATGTTGTCATAGTAAAGCATTTCCGGGTGTCTCCTTTTAGGGCCAGTGCAATTGGGGTATCTTCATGGGAAAACTAGAAATGTGTCCCTTGCTGCTCTGCAGTTTTTTCACAGCCAAGGCTCCTGGGAAGATGGGGAACACGTCACTGAGAGTTTTGCATCCCCTCACTGTTGTCAACAGTTTTCTGTTGTATAGGAAACGAGGCGTTTAGGGCTTCAGAAGCCACTACAGAATTCAGATTCTTGCCTTTCTCTTACACGGGTTTATCGGTGAGCACGTTCGGAAGGCCTGTGCGCCGGGCGCCATGCTGGGGACTGGGGGTACAGTGGGGAGCAGACACAGGCCCTGTGCTGGGGAGCTCCCCGTCTTGTTGGGAAGGCAGGCACGTAAACAGGCAACTCCAACATAATGTGATAAGTGTTCTCTCCTGCTTGCGGGCCAAGTGCACTGCTGCCAAGGCGGGTCCCTTGGAAGTGGCTGCAGTTGGCCGAGAGTAAGCAGCTCCTCAGTGAAAGACTTCTTTTGTTCTTCTTGGATGACCAAACAGGGCACTTGGCAAATCATAGACAAGCAATAAGGACTTGTTGATTGATTGATAAAGAGAGTTTTACTACTCCAAAGGACCATTGAAATAGAATACTGAGTAATTTTGGAAAGCAGAGTGGAATAAATGAGTAGGTGAAAATTTCATATTGTCCTACAACAACACAGAGTGCTTTCTAGGTCAGATTGTAATGTTTTTAATTAAAGCTCACATTTTCTAATATGAGCAGTTAAAAAAATTGTGCTAAAAGTTAATCCCAATAACTGTAATACTACATCTCATTCTTTTATGTACCCACTGGATCCAGTCTCTCTGTTCAAACCAGTTGGAATTACCTTTCCACACCACTGCACATCCGATTACGTGATGCATTTGATCAAAACCTCTAGAGTGTAGACTGCTTAGCCTGGCCCTTCGCGAGCTGACCCCATCCAGCCTCTCAGCCCTGCTCGTCATTCCTCCCACGGTACACTGGCCACTCGTTACTCACAGACACGCCGTGGCTTTGCAGCTCGTGCACTTTTTATGTGCGATTTCCTATATCTAGGATGTTCTTACCCTTCCTATCCACCATGCCCCCTGCTAACGAACTCCTACGCATCCTTCACGGACCAGGCCAGATGGTTCATCCTCTAAAGCCTCCTCTGACCTCCCGAACGATGAGCTGCCTCCGCAAAAGCACACACAGCCGGTGCAGCTCTCATCACCTTAGGCTGTAGCTGTGGACCCTGGGGCACCACGTGGACTGGAGGTCCTTGAAGGCAGAGAGCGGCCTTCCTGTGGCTCGGTACCTTCAGAGCCTAACGTGGGGCACCCACTCTGTGAGCCCCCCCAAAGTGTCGTCTGGGCTTCAGCACCTCACGTGCATGCATTGCCTCCTCTGTGGACTGGGAAAGCCCGGCCCACTTCTCTTCCTCCTCCCCTCCTGCTCTCCTAAAGAAACCGAGCCAAGAAATTGGTATGTTGGGTTTATGCTAAAGCCATGATTAACATTTATGGCTGTTCATTCTTCCCTTTTCTCAAGATACAGAAGTTAAGGAAGGCAGCCTACCAGACCGATTTAAAAACAACACAGAAAACCAGGGTAAGGGAAGGAAGGCGCCTGGCTGAGGGGAGCATATTTCCAGAGCAGCCAGCTAGCCCTGGCTGGTCAGGCCCCCAGGTGTCTACCCCAGCTTGGTATTAGCTAGAGTCCATTCTTATGAAACTTACCTTGATGCTCTCTGAGGTGACTAGAAGCCGTAGGTTATTGCGAAGAAAACCTTGCCTCAGAGAGGGCCTTTTCTTGCAGGCAGTGGACAGGTGCCAAGCAAAATACTGAGCCTAGAGTCCCCCCTCAGCTAGTTATCACCATCCTTATCCCCAACACCACCCCCCATACCCACCCATGGTGATTCTGCCATGGCCGTAACTAATTGCCTGAGACCAGTTACCATCGAGGCCTGTTCCTCTAATTAAGTTACACACTCTCGAAGTGTTGCTTAACTTGATTAAAGAGAAGCAGTCTTTGTTGGTGTTGGCCTACTATATCTTCAGTCCAAATTGCTAATTGACATTTTTATTATAGAAAGGAAGTGGAGCAATTCTGAATACTGTGAAAACGAAAGCAAACCCAGCCATGAAGACCGTCTATAAGTTTGTAAGTACTGGTCTTGGTCTCAGGACCCACACAGATCTGTTCCTTAGCATGACGAGACTCTTAAATATACCTGATCCTATGTGCAGAGATGACTCGGAGGCTACCGTGCTGTTTCCTAAAACTCTCAGTGCCCTTAGAATCATTTAGCGTTGATATTTTATGACCAGGTCAGTGACGTTTTTAATTTAAAGCGTTTCTGCCTACAGTTGCTGTGGGGGAAATGGGAGGCTACTGGTTTTAGCTTTTAAAATATAGACTGGGTGGGCAGAATTCGGCTGCTCCGTGTCTGTGCCCCTAAGGCCTGGGGCGGTATGTTCTCTCGGGTGTTCTGACAAACGTTTCCTGTGTGTATCCCCATTATTATGTCCAAATAAAGCAGCTCCTTTGCAGGTTACGGAAGCATGTTCATGGTGGGACACACCCCCTAGTTTTTGTCCCAAATTCATCATCTCTCTCATCACTGCCCTATAGGAAATGCATTGTTTGTGAAACTCGTGCCCACAGCAGAGTGAAAATAGGAGAACACGTCAGTTCCCGATGCTCCATCTTTTACAAGCCTCAAGTAGTTTTTTTTTTTTTTCTCATGATTTCTCTTGCTTGCTAATTTGACTCCGAGCCACTTAACTGGGGCGGTTTTGTTTTATTTCCATTTTTAATTGTGTTAGTCCTTTCCATGCTTAAATCGTAGTTACTTTAATGGGGTGGGTGGCTGCCAGCAGAACCACACAGGTCTGAAATGACAAAATAAAAGCCAGGGTATAGTGGCACTGGAGAAGCCCAGAGATATATCCGTCCAGGCCATTCAGCCTGGGCAGAAGAAAACTAGTCCTGAGGCCCTGCCCTAGCGAAATGCAATAGGTAGGTATTCTGAATCTTGCAGCCAGCAAAGCTGCTGCTCTGGTCTTACTGGTAGCTGTCACCAGGCTGCTGAGATAAATAATTATAGAGAGCAGAAGAAGGGCTTTGGAAAAGGGGCGGGGGTAGTGGGTGGGGGGGAATCAGCGCCATCAAAAATGCAGAAAATAAAATCTCTGTAGCCTCTTTAAAGGTTTTTTTTTTTTTAACCTTTTAACATTGTATTTGTTTTCATAGCCATTATGTTTTCAACTTGATGATCCCATTTTTCCTTCCTTTTTCTAGTCATCAGAAAAGGTGATTGGCAACGGACTGAAATCAAGCATAGTCCCTGCTGGAAACAGAAAGGGAATCTTAACTTAAATTAATTTTTCATGCAGGCAAAAGATCATGCAAAAATGGGAATAAAAGAGGTGAAAAACCGCTTGAAGCAAAAGGTACTTGAAGTTCTTATTCAAAATGTATAAGCACCGTGTATGAAATGCGTGGCCACAGAAAGTCTGATGTGATCAATAGAGGACTGTTTGATACGGTGTTGTTAGCACACTTCAAAATGCATTACCAGCTGTCCGGGAGTTTTCACACTGTTATAAATATTCACAGACAAAAAACTGTCTTCAAATAACATTAAGACTCTGGCTTAAACCCACAAAGGCAAGCAAGTTCAGGTACCGTTGTCCGTCTGTCCCTTGCCCTCCCACCACCCCGGGCACAGGGTCCACGGGGTCTGTAGAAATTGGCTCTGGCCCGGCCTCCCCATCTGAACACCACTCCCCGCTGCACCGGTCCTCTGCCCTGGGGCTGGTTGAAACCAAAACCAAGAAGCATCTCCAAGGAGATGACTACCACGGTCCCGGCATGCACGAGGCCGCCATGCGGACACAGGGCTCTGAGGGCAGGTTTAAGGAGGACACTGGAGGCTGTCCTCAGATGGTGGTTTTGACCGAGAGGAGCCCAGCAATTCATGTTGAGACACTTGAGGGGCAGGAAGAGGCTCTGACTGGTCTTCTTAGGCCAACAGTAAAATCGTAGGAAATCATCCAGGCTACATCCCTGGCTAGGAGCCCCCTGCCTGCTTCGCAGTACTTGCACCTGGGGATGAGGAGGTGGGGGGTGTGGAAGGGGTGGAGATATATAGAACAGAGGGGCATTTTTCACATTGTTGTGAATGTCCCCGTTGTCATTATTGTTCCCGCCCTTCATTAAGGGTGGTCCAGCTATAGGAGCTTTGCCTTTAATTCTTAGAACCACCCTGGGGGCGGTTGTTCCCATTCTTGTGTATGGAGACTGTGGTTCAAAGGCAAAGGCAAAGTCGTTTGCCCACGGGTCACACTGTTTGAGCCAAGATTGGATTCCAGATCCGTCTACTCCCAGCGTCTGTGCTCCTACCTGCCGCTGCAGTGTTTCATGCTGCCTTCCTGAAACAGGTGTTTTGTTCACCAAAAGAGGTCTGGGATCACTTCCTTCCTTACCCCACACCCCGAATGTGCCACTCGAACACGAGCCTTTGTCTATCTCGGCAGTTTGTTAAAAGCTGAAAGCAGTTGTAATTTTACGAAGTCAGAAAGGACCTCTAATTAACTTGAAGTGGTCAAAGGAGTTGATGCCTTTCTTTTAATTGCAGAATAATTTGCTCTGACTAAGCATTTAAATTCTTAGTTTCAGCTGAAAGTGAATTTTTTGACAGCTGAGATTCAGGTCCTACGATAAAAATCCTGTACGTTAACGTAAACCCAGATAGACCTTAACTAGTCTGCTGCGTCCTGCCGGAGACCGGCAGGTGAGATGCGTTGCTTGGATGCTATTTACATCTCTAAACACACCTTTTTATCCCCTACCCCAGTCACGTGTAACCGAACTGGATTGCTGATGTTAAATGGAGTGGCGGGGAGGCAGGAATTCTCTCACCAGATTTTCCCTCCTCGATGTCTAGATCCGAGGCTCGGACTGGCATTAGAATGTTCTCGAGATAAGCGGAGAAAGGGGCCCCTCCACACGCCCCGCCTCCCGCCGCCTGCACACAGCGTTACCAAAATCCCCTTTTCGTGATTCGTATCATTTCTGCAAATTACCGGTTAAGCTCGGGTTTTTTGACGATGCCGTTCAGAGGTTTCCTTAAACGATCTAGATCGCTCTCCTTCCACGCCATCTCCCTCGGGGTCCGAAGCTGAGCTTCTCCTCTCTGTGTCCTCTTCCCCCTGCCAGTCGCATTCAAGAGCAGCTTCAGGAGATAACGTTCTGCGCAGAGTGTCAGTACATTTCAGGTGACACGCATGGTGAAGGCATTTTATAGAAATGTGGCTTGTCACCGTCAGATTGTTGACAGATCCATTAGTGCACCCTGTTCAATTTTCACTTTCCCCCCTCCCCTTCGGTCTTACAGATCTCTCCAGACCTGATACTTTGCAGTGGTTCTTGGGGAGAAGAACCACTCCTTTGTAATTGAAAGTCCAGCCGTGGTGGGCGTGGGTGGGACTTGGCCTCCCGCAGCGCCCCGCAGCCCCCCGTTCTTGAGCTCATTTAGGATCTGGCTTCATCCGACCTCTCTCGCCGCAGTAGAAAATATTTCCGGGGCTTTTTTGTTCCCCTCCCCTCTACGTGGCAACATGTATCTGTGTGGCTCCCCGGATATCCGTGTAGTACAGACACCTCCAGTTTGGTTTCTGCTATGAAACGGGAGCAATTCCCAACAAAGACCCAATTTTCAAATGTACTGGGTTGCCACCTGGCCCCCTCTAACGCGGCATAGCGATGGTGACCTCGCAGACATAATCAAGAACCCCATCCTGCCCTCTGTGCTCACGCCTTGGGTTTGAATTGCAAATAGAGAATGTGGGGCCGACCTGTGGAGAGGTCACCACAGTGAGTGGAGGGTCCGTCTCTAATATGACTGAGCAGGGCCCCTTCTCCAGCCCTTGTTCATTTGTGCTGCAGATTTTCAAAGCATCTGAAACGGGAGCTTTCAGGGCGTCCGTGTGACCATCGGCAAATAATTGTAATAGATGCTGTGGTGTGGCTTTATTCCATACCTGCGCTGCTTCAGCCCAACAACAACAAAAAAAAGGACAGATAACATATTTCTCTGGATAAATGGAGCAAGGTAGTCAAGTTCGTCTATAGCTCGGCCTCCTTTGAAGCCTGACTTGCTCAAAATTAGAAAGCAGAGAAATGGCAAAGATGCTGCCTAGGCGTCTCTTTCTGAAGGGAGAATGGAGCATTTTCCTCCAGAGCGTCTCCTGCCAGACCTGGCCTGCTGAAGAAGGCCGCCTGGCTGGGCTTGCGACTGTCGACTGTCGCAAGAGCATCGTGCTCGGGGCCGGCCTCAGGATGCCCCCTTTCGAAAGCGGCAGGCACATACCCGTTCCTCCTCGCCTGCAGAGAACATTAAGATATTCACATAAGGATGTCTTTCTTTCTTTCTTTCTTTTTTTTTTTTTTTTTTTTTTGCCTATTGGGGAACCCCTGGAAAATTACCTTTTTTCTTCAGTATCAAAATGATTTTATCGAATCAGCCCATTTCACAGCTCCTTTTAAAGTTTCTGAATCTTTGATCTTTGACAGTTTAATCGAGCTTGTTGATTTAGTTTCTGTGATTAAAAGAATCGAATTCACAGTTGGGTTAGCGAAGGCCAGACGTTTCCTAGTGCATTGAAGGGAGTCAGTAAGCGTGCGTGGGACCGGGAGATGGAGGTAGACTCCTGCAGAACAGACATTTTCACACCTTATCACACAACTGTCAGCTCCCCGTCTCCAGACAGGCTGCAGCCTCAATCATGGAAATTCCAGCTCTGGACTCTATTTTGGTATCCGTGTTCCTATTTTAATTTGTCGTGGTACGAAGCAGACTGGAAATGGAGACCAGCAGTCCGAGCTGGAGACGGTCAGGCCCCCACCTCACACCAACACTATGGACTGGTACTGGGGCTTCTGAGGCAGACGAGCTGGATTCAGCGCTGGTTGTGTAAGGTCTCAACTGTGTGACCTTGAGTGAGTTACTTGACCTCTCTGAACCTAGTTTTTCTCTTCTATAAACGAAGAGAAATTAGAGATTTTTACTGGCTTATTCTAAGGATTAGATTTAGAGATTTTTAACGGATTGATCTAAGGCTTAGAAGAGGTAATGGGTTTAACAGCAGCACTTAGTGGCCGCTCAGTAAATTAGAATTTGCGCCCTGTCCCATTCCTCATACCCCACATCCGGAGCAGCCGGCCTGCCCACCCCCACGTGCACCTCCCCCCCCAGCTTGGGACAAACCTTTCAGTCATCCACACAGCAGAGTTCCTGCAGCACAGCTCTGACCCAGTCACTCCCCTGGTTCAGACCTTCCAGACCTTTCAAACCGTCCGCCTCCTTGGCCAGGAGGCTCTTGGATGCCCCAGCTGCCGGACCACTTAACCAAGCTGTGCTTTCTAGCGCCCCAGGGCTGGGAATGCTCTACTCACATCTCTGCCTCATGAAGCCATATCCCTAGCTCCTTCCCCGTCCAGCCCCCGCCCAGCTCCTGCCCAGGGACACTGAGAGCCCCCTGCCCCCTCCGGGTTCCTGCCCCCTGGCTTCTCATGGGTACTCTCTCCAAGGACTTCCCATGTGCTGTCCTTGCCTTCCACAAACAGGCAGAGATTTGATCTGTCACAATTTTGGATCTTAGCAAATGCTTAGGGAAGGGATAGGAATGGAACTATTTTCCCGCCCGTTTGCTTTACCAGCCGATGTAAACTTCTAAGACCCCCCATGCCCTGAGCTGAGCCACAGGGCTCCTGGGAAGAGATCTGCCACCCTGTGGTGGCCTCTGATCTGCAGCTCTGTCTAGTGTCTTCCTTCTGTGTGGTTTCAGGAACAGATTTACCCCTCCTGTCAGCTTTCTTGGTTTTGCTTTTTTTAAATGACATTTCAATGGTCAGGGTTTGTTGTTGTTGTTTGTTTACAAACAAAAAACATGTTTCTTGAAGAAAATTCAACAAATCAGAGAAGCAAAAAGAAAATGATCTCATTTTGTAGCTTGAATTTTCACTTACTATATCCTAAACATTTCCCAGACCACTGACTGTTTCTCCCACATGTCATTGTTTTAAACAGCTACATGAGATTTTATCCGATGGACACACATATACATTATTTAATCAGCCCCATTGTTAGATGCTTATGTCAGTTCCAGTCATTTCTAGGCAAATGTCCTCATAGATAAAACCTCTCAGGGATTCTTAATTATTTCTTTAGGATACATTTCTAGAAATGAAATTAATGGGCCAAAGGGCATGCACCTCTTTAGGGTGTTGACATAAGTTGCCAATTTGTGTTCCCACCAGAAGGAAATGGGAGTGCCGTTTTTCCCAAGTTTTTTTGCCGGCACCTTCTCAGTGAGCTCATAGGCCACAACTTCTTTAATCGTGGGAGCAAGACTGGCTGTCACTGGATCCCTTCTATGGGTAACATCTCTGATGGTAGATGCAGGCGAGGATGTGAACTGGCCCCATCTCTTTCTTGGCTGGGGCTCCTCCCACACTCTACTCCCCAGAGAGGAAGCAGTTGTCCTTCCCCAGGTGGAAGAAATCGCGCAGAGTGAATGCGCTGGTGGACAAGGCCCGAGACTTTGTGAGAAGCCTTTGCACCTTCGGGTCTTCTAGCTAAAAAAAAAATTAATGTGCTGCACTGCTTTTTGACACACAATTTGTGTGTTGGACACATTAGCCTTCCAAAGGTGAAGTTCAGCTGTACAAAGATTTATTGGAGAGCATTTACTGCGTTCAAGGCTCTGGAGCAGAGAACTCAAACCCCAAAGAATTCACAGTCTGTAGGGATAAGATAAGTCGGTGCCCAGGTATCATAAGGCATGGCAGCATAGGATCACGTAAGAAAAAGGGTTTCTAAGAAGGCGATCACGGCCGCTGACTTGTTGAGCACCTTCTCAACTCCATGCCTTCCCTTCCCTTGTGCTGTTGTTAAGGGTGATACGGTTTAGATGCCTGAAATCACGCAGCTCTGGGTTCCTCTACTTTCTGGCTCTGTGGCCTTGGGGACGTTGCTCTCTCCGAGCCCCGTTTCCTCACCTGTAAAAGAGTGATGCTCCTCCTCTTCACCTCATGGTAGTTGCGCAAAGTGGGGCAGGGAAAGGTCAGGATCTAGGAAAGTGCCTGCCAGTAGGAGGCGCTTGCCACGGGGCAGGTTTCTTTGGAGATGGTGGTCTTCCCGTTTTTTTTGCAGGATAAGGATCTAACATTCAATTTGCACGGTACTGTCACGTTTTTTTCAAAGCTTCCTCACATCTCATTCCATTTAACTCATTGTCCCAGTGGCTTTGAAGTTTCTCAAGCAGGTGGTGGTCTCCCCATTGTAAAAATAAAGAAATAGGTTGCAGAGAGGTTGAGTGAGTTGGAAAGATCAGACCGCTAGTTGGTGGTAGAAACAAAACTAGGAGACGGTGTTTTTACGCAGAAGCTTAACTAAGACGCTTTCCCAAAACTACCGCGTACATTTTCTAAATAGCTGTCATTTTACAGGTTTCATCACTATCGATATTTTTACCATGTTACCTTACTGCTCCGTTTTTTTTTCTCTTTTTTTCAGCCAATCACTCATATACACATGCAATATTTTTCCTAAACAAAAAGTGAAATTTTTTTAGTTTGGTTTTACTCAACCTTTTGTGGCTGTCCTTTCAGTAACCCCTCCAGATCCCAAATGCCCCTTATGCCCTTTGCTACTTTCTGGCGAAAAAGGAGTCATCCCCCCTCCCCCGCCACCAAACCCCCTAGCCCTGACCCTTTGTTCCACTTGACCTGAGCACCTTAGGTCAGCCCTCTTTCCAAAAGAGCCCTTTCTAATTGGCTGTCGGCAACCTCTCTCATCACTGAGCCTCAGCCAGGCCAAGACTTACGGGCCACTTGATGCAAGCCCTGCCTGCAAAAACAAAAAGTCCTCAGCCCCTGTGTCCTTACCAAGCAGAACAGAGGCATTAGCTAGGTGTATGGGGCTGACTTTACACACACACACATGCGCATACACACACACACACACACACACACACACACACACACAGATTCCTAGTTTTTTGAACACCTTATCAACAGGTATTCGATTATTACTGAGTACCATATATAGTACATTATTAATAATGTGCTAGACACTTTTATGTTGCATTATCTCCTCATAGCTACCATATCCCCATTACACAGGTAAGACTGAGGCTCACAGATGTAACATCTGTTTCATCTTTAATGCGTTATTCAATAAAGGACCAGTTTCCGCCATGTGCCACCATTCTCTTTGGCTGAGAAATTAAGAGCAACCAGTGATCAAGTCTTTATGTGTAGAATTTAATGAGTGCTAAGGGTGCGTGTATTGTTGACCAAAATGTATATCTTTTTTGCAATCAAAATAATTGGAAATTTATTTCTGTGAGTTATTTTTATTTGAATAGTGAATTAAACGTATTTTATTTGTGCATTTCTTCTCTGCCTTGCTCCAATGACGATTTAAGCAACTTTCCTGACTTGAATAAAGGATGAGGTCCTCATTGCACAAGTGGGCACCACCCATCCCCCAAAGAACCATGTGTATAGTCAGCTGCCAGCATTAGCCAGATGAGCCATTACCTGCCTTTTTCACATTGGGGTTTTTCCTTTCCTTTAATTTGACTTTATGAGTACAAATTAAATGTAAACTTCTGAATTTAAAAATATTATTGTGGTTCCCTCCATTTTCTCCAAGAAATAGAATCCGAACTCAGATTTCAGTCTCTTCCAGAAAGACAGACAGTAACATCATCACAACTGTGGAAGAAATGTCCACACTCTCAAATAATCAAAGTAATGCAAATTAAAAACAATGAGATCTAATTTTTCACCTCTTAAATTAGCGATACATTTTTAAAACGATAAGGCTAACGAGTACTGTGAAACTGATAACACATCCATTGCTGGTAGTGGTGTAAATTGGAAAGCAATTTGGTAGAATGAATAAAAAGCCTTAAAAATGCTTGTATCTTTTGACCTAGTAATTTCATTCCTAGGGATTCCCGTAAAAGAAATAATCCAAAAGAAAGAAAAACTTCAGTGTTTATTACTGTGGTGTTTAGAAGGAAGAAAAGTAACAGCCTAAATTCTTGGTAGCAGTAGAACGATTTGTTAAATTATTCTATATCGGCTCAGTGAAATATTATGCATCCATTAAAATTATTATAATGACTGTATAACACCGTGGAGATGCTTATAATATAGTAGGGAACAAATAGAATGTAAAATTATGCATGAGCTGTGATCACAAGTAATTTTTAAATGTCTGCATGTGGACAAAGTGGATATGTAAAAATGAAAATAGCCACGTTAGGTAGTAGGATGAAGGGTGCTCCCCCCCCCAACCCCAGTATGGTGAATTATTATATTGTCTTTGTAATTTAATGGGTATGATTTTGGTTTCTCTCATCCTTCAAAGTCAAAGAGCCAAGTTAGCCTTCCGTTTCCTTCACCTCCAGCAGAAGGACAGGCTCTAAATGTCCCAGGGGAGTTCCATGGCAGGCCGCTTAGCTGGGGTTGGAGGGAGCACCTGTGCTCACCGTAAGTGCCAAGACCCCGACATCAACCTCGACTGGCTTCTCCCTGCAGGACATCGCGGAGAATGGCTGCGCCCCCACCATGGAAGAGCAGTTGCCAAAGACTGCACCGTCCCCACTGGTGGAGGCCAAGGACCCCAAGCTCCGAGAAGACCGAAGGCCAATCACAGTCCACTTCGGACAGGTATGTACCCTCGCCTGCCGACTGGATGGGTTTTGTTGGTTTCTTAGCGGAAGCTGTAGCACGTGCAGCAGGCAGTTTTTCATTTCAGCTCTTTTTGGCAAAACAACGCCGTGGAGCTTGTACACCTTCAAGTGTTTATTTGGTGCAAACATTTTGACGGTGAATTTTCAAAATTTTTGAGGAAGCAGCGTGGCTCTGGTCGTAAACTAGCCGAACTCTTGAATGAAGTCATTAAATGCAGCTGCCGCCTCCCCCACTTCAAGGCACTTCGTTCCTTTAAGGTGCCTCTGTTAGCTAAGCATCTCATTAGAACCCTTTAGCATCCCAGGCCCTTTTCTGCACCTTCAAATAAAAGGCAACCAGCGAAGTCTTAAAAAAAAAAAAAAATCAATTAGGAGTTCTTTATTAATGTACTTCCTGAAAATCAATATCGGGAGTCGTGATTCTCAGAGTAAACAGCCACACCGTGGTTCTAGAAATTCGACTCTTTAACCAACTATTTTCGACAACCTGAGCGTTTGAACATTGTCTGTTTTCTTATCTCTTAAGTAAAACATTGTACTCTGCATAGAAACTGAAAAATGTTTTAAATCTATTTCCTACCAGTGATTATATTTTTGGTTGAAAAGAATTGTCTACCCTGCCCTTCTTCCCTCGAAATGATTCTCTTGGTTGGCAAGTCATAATTTTTTGATTTAGGAGAAATGGCTCCGTTAGCAAGATATGACCGTAACAGGAATTTGCAAGGTTCTTGCAATATTCGGAAATCACCTGGTTCTTTAGACATGTATTAGGTGAGGCATGATTAAAATAGTCTGTGATTTTATCTTAAATGTGATTGCCTTTTTGTAACATAAAGGAGCTAGGAGCATACCTTTAAAATGTCCTGTTTTTAACGGGTATTTATCAAGTATCTACTACGTACCAGGTATTGAGCTATTTAGAAATGAAGGGAACTAAGGACACTATTACTATGGGCTATTATTATAGGGGTGAGTTCGTTAAGACCTAAGGCTCTTTCTCTGTGATCAGTATTTTCAGTTAATATATTCATACATCTTAAACTTGGGGAGGTTCACCCCTCTTTTCAGATTTTACACTTAAAAGAGATGTTATAAAAATTGAAATGTAGCACAAGGAAGAAGCATCCACGGGGCAGTGTTCATCTGCTTATCTTCCAGCTGTGCTGGCTCTTGCACCCCTGGAGAGCCGCCCCCGCCCCCTGCCCCAGCGCGCGGGTTCAGGCCCTGCCGGGGGAACCTGCCCTGGCTCCCCGGCTGGGTTTGCTGAAAGCCCAGCCCCCCAGTTGTCGGCAGCGTGCGTTCCAGAGCCAGCTTCCTGCCCGCCTTTGTCCTCATTCCTGCACACGCCAACCTTCCCATGAAAAGAGCCCCTCGCTGGAGTTTGGAGCCCATTACAGAGAAAGAGGGGGCGGGGGAGAGGGATTTCATGGTGTTAAACATTCCATTTCGAAACACAAAAAAGGAGGCCCTATTTGAAATGGAGAAAGACCTTCTTTCCATTTCGGCGAGAAGTAGAGATGCTTTAATGTCATTCCCAGCTAAATGCAGAATAAGAGAGTGTGTGTGTGCACGCGGGTGGGGGATAAACAATTAAAAAAGCCACCCCAAATTCTGTTGAAATAAGAGCTGTCTGTGCCTTCACAGGTCTGTAAACTGGAGAGGATGAAAGTGGCTTTTTTTCCCCGTTTGTCACTTCCCTCACGTGGCTGCCAGCATTATGCAAGTGTACAGGAAGGCAGGGTTTTTTTTTAATGCATGCATGCGGATTAAGGTCAAGCCCCGAGTATCAGCCATGCAGCGGGCTCTCCCTTACAGCTGCAGCCGCTGAGCCTACCCACAGCCGCGAGATGCCTTAATTGAGACGTGCTGTCAAAGTGACAAACACATTTGCATACAGTCTACACTCTATTTATTTTCTCTGGAAAGGTCTACAGTCTGCTGTTGGTTGAACATTCTTAATCAGTTTGCTGTAAGTGAACTGCCAGCTAAGCTCACTTGTGCCGGCCGCTTCTTCATTAGGTGACAGATTAGCTGCTGGGGGATGGGCCAGGGAAACCACAGACCCTTTCTTTTAACTCTTTCCGGCTTTGCCCCCATGCTTGGCTGTCCTTCAGTCCTTCCCCAGGCTCCTGGTTTGATGGGCCGTTGACCGGAACAAGCAGCATTTCAAGAGCACCTACTACTGGCGGGCATGAGTTTTAGGAACTTCACATTCTTCTCAAAGAACAGTCTTTTGAGTTCCATTTCAAAAATTTTGCCACACTCTCCAATCATCTATACTATTTTCTTTACTTGATATTTTCCTTTAAACAGACTCAGACCTGACATCTGTACCAACTTCAACCTCATCTTAAACGATGATGACAGAACATAGGCTTGATGTACTGGTCCAGGTTTTTTCTAAGCCATATCAAAAAAAATTTTTTTTTAAGTGTCCATCCATCCATGTGTCACCTGAGCCACTAGAAAACGTATCATTTCTGCCACAGCTCTGAGGAAGGGGTTTTTTAGCCACATTTCGTGGCCACATCACCAGCCCAGAAACCCAGAACAGTCCAGCCGCAGCTGCCTCGCCATGCAGAGACTTCCGCTGTCTGGTAGTTCTGCTGAAGCTAATGTGTCCCTCCAGAATCATTGGAACCAGCCAGACAGGGCACGCTAACCTCAGAAAGACCCCTGTATTCCTGTGGAAACTTAGAGATGGAGGCTGTTGAGATCATTACATCAGTCCCTTCGCCTCACAGAGCCGGTGCCCATGTAGCCAGCCGGGGGTGCCCCATGGAGACATTGGGCAGGGCCGCAGGGAGCCCGGCGGTGGCCTGTGCAGAGCCCTCGGGCAGCAGCTGGGGCTGGGGGCGGCAGCGAGAGGGAGCCAGGGGAGAGCAGGTGCTCTCCGGCCTCGCTCTGCCTCACTAGAGCGTCTTCCTTCGAGGCTGCGACATTGCTTCGTTTAATTATGCATCTGTTCATCCGCGTATTGAGACCTACCGTGTGCAAATAATAATAATAATAATAAGTCCTTGTGAGGAAGAAAAGGGAGAGACACCAGCAAATGGACAGAGGTGACCTCTTCACCCCCAGGACCCAGGTCCCAAATTGGACCCTGTACTTAAAAGGTATTTTGTCAACAGACTGGACTCACTAACAATTCGGCGGTTTTCTAAAGCAGACACGCAGGGCCGCTCAGAGCTGGTGATGAGCCATGCTGATGGTTCCAGACAAGAGCAAAATAGATGGATTTTTAGTTAGGCTGTGATTCTTATCGTGTCTGGTTTCTTTAAAGAGTTCAAAAACCTCAAATAACTCGAGAATGCCTATTCCTACCTTGGAAAAGTATTTAGGTTTAGCGAGGGTTTGAATAACTCTTTCCAGCTCCCAAATTCAGGATCATGAAATAAGGCCCAAGAGACAGTCAAATGAGATAAAAATGCCAGCTTTTTTATTGATTGGCTGAAAGGAAGATACTACTTTAGACTTGAGACCAAGTAGGCTTGCTAAAACTTTACCACAGAATTAAAAAGACTGAGTTACGCCACCAGGATAAGTGGACAGTGGCAGGCAATGCCCAGCTGGGCCTGTGGCCTGGCTGCTCTGCAGGAAAGAGCGAGAAGGGTGCCTCTCTGGTTCACAAACTGGCCCCGTACGTGGGGGCAGGGGGGCCAGGAGAGACCGAAGAAAGAGGCAGGCCACCCTAGTTGGTAGGCGGCGGGATTAATACGTAAGGGAACTTACTTACAAGGCTTGTCTTGGGAGACCACTGGCCCAGGGGATCTCTGCCAGCATCTTAGAAGTTTACATTGAGGCTTTGATGGGTCTGGTCATGTAGACCATCCAGATGGTCTCAAGAATTCGTTGCTCTCTTGAGGCTGCACCCTTGAAAATGATGCTCACTGTAGGATCGGTGGGGAGAGTTTTATTCCAAGGACAAGAGGCATGAGGAGCCTCCGCTGGCCCAGGTCCAGTTCTCAGGTCGGCTGGCAGTCACATCCTCTTGATGATCCCCTCCCCGCACCCCCCTCCCCCGACCGCAGATGTGGAGCGTGGGACATGCTCAGTCCCTTCTCCCAAGCCTCTCCTCCCACTCTGGGTAGGAGTGAGTGAGAGGGCGCAGAGAGGAGCTAAGGACCCCCCGTGCACTCTTCCCCTGGGATGGGGAGTGGACATTCCCTCCTTTCTGTGACTGCGGAAGGGACAAGGAAGCAGTGTCCTCCCCAGCAGGGCCTAGGTGCCCCTCAGCCAGAACACGTCGCTTTGACCCTTCCCCTTCTGAGGAATCAGCAGAGACACACCCCGAGGAAAACTGCCCTGCTTCCCCGCATTGAATAAGATGGAGGGGCCACCAGGCGCCCTCGCATCTGTGCTCATTTCACTGACTCTGCCATCGGCTGGTAAGGGAGAAGGCGTCATACCCATTGTACAAACGAGGAAGACATTTGCTTGAATTAGTAGCTACTTCAGACTCCACAGCCGGCAGCACCTCTGCCTCTCTCGGCTGTGTGCAGCTCTCCACGCCTGGCTCGGGGAACTGGGCTGGCTGTGGGAGCCCAGTGACTGGATCCTAGCCCTGGACGTGTGCTGCCAGGGGCGTGGTGCTCGGCCAGGGTTTGGGAGGTTGGGGCTCCCCTGAGGGCAATGTGGCGGAGCCAGTCCAGAGCCCCCTTGGTTGTGTTTCCCCCAATCGATTGATCCTGCAGAGTAATTGCCTGCCTTCCGATCTGATAAGTTCCAAGGACTGCGCATTGGAAATTCTCCCAATTTTCTAAGTTTCTCTGGTGTAAAGTTTGAAAAGCCAGTTTAACGACCAAGCCTAAACCAAGCCCTCCCAGAACCCTGGGACTCTGGCTTGAATATACCCCTGGGAGCGGCTGTTGGAACGTGGTGTCCTGCTGTCTGTATGTCTGGGGAGTTCTGGCTTTACAAGCATGAGCCAGTTTCAAGTTGGGCTGGAAAATCTGGCCAGTCAGCGAATGGCTTCTC